ACGACAGATGCCGCCCAAGGACGGCAGAGGCCCCGCCCAGAGGACAGGCCCCCAGGAAACACTGATGGTGGACACCTCACATCTAGACGGGGGAATTCGTGAATCCCCTGGGCGATTCCTAAAGTTGAAGAAACTTAGAAGACCTTTTTGATCTGTTTTGGAGGCTGGGGAACAGACTAGGGCAGCACGTAGGTCACTAACTGCAAGGCGCCCACACAGTCGCGCTGCCCACCAGCGCCTCTGGCCACGCCCACGCGGACTCGTGCACTTCCCCCACCTCGTCCTGCGTGACCAGCAGCCCCCGCTCTGCTCTCTGTGGCTCCGTCGGTTAAATTCGGATGCAGCAGCGTCAGAAGAAAAAAATGCAAAGTCCTCTGCCCTTCAATCGACTCTCCGGCCGTCAAAAACAGGTCTGGGTGTCTTGCCTTTTCAGATTATAGGGCTGTTTTAAAGGAGCCAACCCTGAAAACGGTGCCACGTGAAATGGGGCCGTCACAGAACGACAGGCATGAGGCAGTTGCACTGGGAAAAGGAAAGGTCCGGAGATGGGACGGTGCGACGCTGGCACGACGGCGTGAGCTCTAAAGTTGAAGAAACTTAGAAGACCTTTTTGATCTGTTTTGGAGGCTGGGGAACAGACTAGGGCAGCACGTAGGTCACTAACTGCAAGGCGCCCACACAGCCGCGCTGTCCACCAGCGCCTCTGGCCACGCCCACGCGGACTTGTGCACTTCCCCCACCGCGTCCTGCGTGACCAGCAGCCCCCCCTCTGCTCTCTGTGGCTCCATCGGTTAAATTCGGACGCAGCAGCGTCAGAAGAAAAAAATGCAAAGTCCCCTTCAATCGACTCTCCGGCCGTCAAAAACAGGTCTGGGTGTCTTGCCTTTTCAGATTATAGGGCTGTTTTAAAGGAGCCAACCCTGAAAACGGTGCCACGTGAAATGGGGCCGTCACAGAACGACAGGCATGAGGCAGTTGCACTGGGAAAAGGAAAGGTCCGGAGATGGACGGTGGCGACGCTGGCACGACGGCGTGAGCGTGCTTAACGCCACGGAGCTGGACACGTCAGAAAGGCCAGCTTGGCACCGGGCATACTCTACTCGATTTGGAAAGGAAGAGGCCTCAGGTGGTGGGGGCCATCGCCTCCTCCGTTCTCCGCCCGCGTGCAGGGAGGCCCATCGCCTCGTGGCCACCACCGCTCTGGGAACAGTGAAACCCAGCTCTGCCACGGGGACCTGAGACCTTAGATGACGGAATCTCTCCGTGCCTCAGTTTCCTCATCTATGAAATGGGGTTCATCACAGGATCCCCTCCTCGAGCAGTGTGCTGAGGTGCGCGCTCTCACACAGCTTTACGGGAACCGCAAGCACCGCGTTAACGTTACTCGTTCTGCTTCTACCTTTCTGACGCACGTGGCGTAACGCACACGACCCTGTGTCGTCGACAGCGGAGCTCCTGGAGGCCCGAGACCTAACCTCACTCCTCAGTGTGTTGTCTTTCATACCTTGTAACAGACACAGCGGCTTTTTGCTGGGAGGAGGAAAAGCCGCGTAGAAACCGTGACGGCCTCGGCCAGGGTCCCATCGCCCCCAAGGGGACACCGGGCCTGCCATGGCTCCAACCCCAGCCTCGGCTCTCCCCGCGCTCACTCAGGCCGCTCAGCCCTCTCCCGCGGAACGCGGCCCCTCCCTCGGGAAAGGCACGGATGCGCCCACACCCAGAGTCCGGAGCCG